TTCATGCAATATGTCTGCTTACTTCCAGCCATCATGACCCTGGACCTGGGCCCCGTTCCACAGACCCCACGGCGGATGACGAACGACGAAGTGATGCCCTGAGCGGCAATCAGTGATTTGTGGAGCGGCATAAATATTAAAATATCAAAAGCCCACTCTTCGTATGTGTTTGCGAACCTTTTCATAATATTTAGTCCTAACAGGAGGCTTTTCTAATGCGAAATTAACTGAATTAATTGTATCCTTCCGGCATTAGAGCAGCCGGAAGTAGGGCAAAAGGACCAAACGGCTTGTCCTGGGTCTCAGCTCAATGCCGTTGTCCTTGGTCCTTTTTGTGCGTTTTAATAAATTGTATTTGTCGCATGGCCTGATTAGCAAAAAGAGGCAGGTAACCGGAACGGATGAAGCAACAGGTGTTAAGATGGGACGATAAATTTCCCTAAAATGCAAACAACAACATAATTTCAGCAATGTATAACGAAGGCGATAAAATTATGCCCGTTGAGGTTTTGAACGGGCTATCAAAAACAGTGGCACACACTCAGTTGGCCTCTAGTTGGGCGACATTGTGGCTCCGTTTGGCGATGACAGGTCAACCAGGCTGCCACTTAATGCGCCATTGTTTGGACCCACATCTGCAGATTATGAGCCGCACTCGGGGTAAAATGGATATGGAAATTACGCAGCACAAATTAGCTTGGACCTGATTGTTTGGTCATGGCAGGATTGGACAGGATTTGGCCGCAGAAGCCACAAAACACGTGCAAACAGGTAGTGCAAATGTAATTTGATTACATGGATTATACGCTAGCAAATATGTTTAATTTATGGCCTCGACGGGAAGTCCATCAAAGGCACTCGGTCAGGATGAGTTGTGAAAAGCAGCGTCCATTTGTTGCCTGCTCAACTTGGCTGCTCCGATTGATTGCATAACAATAAATTATGCAACGCACCATGATGCGGCCACTGCTGTTGCTGCTGCTACCATCTCCTTTCAGCATTGTTGATGTTATTGGTGAGTAGAGGTCCTGGACAAGGACCAGTCCGGCTGCCATTCACTTTTAAGTTTCAAGTGCTGCTGCGGGTAAGTGCTTTTAATATTCATCTAATGCACTCAACGTGTTGTATGGCATGGAATGGGTACTTTCAGGGGTATTGGAACCTCTTTACGGAAAGAGTACATCTATGTTTAAGAGCCAAAATATATTGGATTAGATATATGTGTTAATAGGCGTTTAATAGCTCATGAAATTCAATTTTATATAAATTATAGTGCCTGAAAAACAAGAATATTGGGCTTACCCAACCTTCTTAGGATCTGGCAACAATATTTAAACATTGATAAGGTATGAAATAACCATAAATCATAAATTTTAATTAAAAGGAGATGTCTACGGGACTATAAGGTTTCAGACATTGAATATTTCAATAAAATAATTTTAGAAATCTTTTAATTCAAATAGCTTAAATTGCAGTATTTCTAATCAAAAACTGGAAAAATCTATAGCTTCATTAATTTAAATATAGATTTCCTTGAACTCTCGGCCTTCTTAAAGTACAAAGGAAAAAGTTATAAATGATAAAAATATTTAAACATTTTTTTCACAGAATCATGGGTATCTCGTGCTTGGATCGAACCACCTACACATTTTGCATTAGCTTCATTTTTCTTTGAAAACTCTCCTTGCTATTGCTGCTGTTGTTTCGAGATTGCTGTGGCGTCTGCATCAGGCAGCTGCTGCAATTGAATCCTGTCCCGCGATGATTTCACCCAGACGTGTGGGTGTGTTAAGTGAGTGTTGCCACCTGCGGGATGCAGGAAGCAGGATGTCGGGCTTTAAGGTGTGTGCAAGCGTTCAGTGTCCAACTTAGTATGGTAATCATCAATGTGGCATCGGCAATGCTGGAATCGATCCTAGAGCAGCCAGTACCAATACTACGCATGCAACTCGGGAGCGCACGTGACGTATGCGCAATATGGGCAGATATGCCCAAGTTGTTTATGCATTCATTTTATGCATTGACTTTGATTAAGTAGTGCGGTATGCAAAATGCCTTAGATATCGATACGGGGTCGATAAATCCACTTTGTATGGCTATTTATAATGCCAATGTACCGCAAAACGAGTTGTTGTATTGTCTTGAAATAGATCTCTGATTGATTGGTTTTATGCCATGTCATCTCATCTTGTTTTCGAGCGACTCCCCCGCCAAATGTCAGCGACAGTCTGTCTGCCATCGTGCAGTGAACTCAACAAGACTGGGGCACAGAAGCCATACAAGCCAGAAAACGTGTCCTTAGCTGCGGTTTTGGTCCCGTCTCTAATTGTGCTAATAAGGCGCTGGTAATTATAATTTAATAACATCTCTGACGCTGGCTTTGCTTTTGCCTTTGCTGGCTGAAAACTCGCTCGTGTTTGCCATTAGAATTCTCTGTGTGTGCAATTAACAGCCAACCAGGCAACAAGGCAACCAACCAGGAAGGACCAAGGACGAAAGGTTGGCATATAAAAATTGATTTATGCCGCCTTCAAGGGCGGGGAGAGCTGGGCAATTTAATTGTAAGTCAAACAGTTCTTCGCAAAGTTTATGCAGTTGAGATTTAATTTGATTACACGCCGAGCTGGAGAGCTGGGTAAACATCTTCTGATTGCCTGAATAAGCAATGAGCAAATGAGCTCTTTCCTGCCACTTTTCTCCATCCGAATGGGTTGATGCCAGCAAGCACAAGGATCACTTTTGGCCAGCCGGCGTGGAGTGTATCCTTAAACTCCAGCAGGTGCTGCGTGGCACATGAGCACTGGGCCTCCACTTGTGTATTAATAAACAAATTACGCAATTAATAACACACGCTGAGCGCTCAGCTGGGCGCAAAATGTAACACTTGGTGCATCCTTGGGGCTACGGGCTAAAATTAAGTGCACCAGAAGCTGCGTTTCGCGAATTTATGGCGGCGTGCAGGCGCAACTTGTGCAGCTGCCATAAATGGCTGAGTGAATTGCTTCTGGAGTGCGGGAGCCCAAAAGTGGCCACTGAACCCACATCAAGTGCCTCGCTCCGGCTGTTGGCATCGTTCCGAGTGCTTTCTTTCTTTATGGCCCGCATGGAAATTCGAGAAAAAAAAAGTGGCAGGGACTGGGACAGGGACAGGGGCAGGGAAATGGGAACACTCTGAACTGAAAAAGTATAAAAATGTGCCAGCTAGGCATTCTTTTCCGGCTCTACCTCCAGTTGTCTTGTGCGCTCACACGGAAAAGCAGACAAAATGTATCTGTGACAGCGCAGCCAGGAGAAATCCAGGATAACCGAGCGAGACGGGCGAAGGACGGAACAACAAACGAATATTTATTACAGGTGTTTGCCTTTGACTGACAGAAGGCGCAATCTGGCGCCGGAGCTTAGTTTTGGGCATCTAACGGGGAAGTCCCTTAACTTCCAGCTTTAAGAACCACCAACATAACACTCCTTTGTTCGATTGTGGCTGCAAATTGATTTGGCATCGTCAGGTGGTGCGAGTATCTGTTATCTGGCCAGACGATGGAAATTTTGCAAATCCGATTTGGGCAAAAAGTAAATTTGAAAAATGAAACTCGCTGCAGACCCAACCGGAATTCCTGGAAAATCTTCATACCAAGAGCGGGATATAGAAAGGCTAAAAATAACAACAGAGGCCGATGGATTCATTGTGTTATATTTTTCACTCATCCTTGGCAGCAACGTAAAGTTTAAAGACCAGAATGGCAGTTTTTTCACGCATTTCACTTGCGCTGACAGGACCTTCGGGACAACTAGAAAAGTTGACAATCAACGTTGGAAAGTGGATTCAACTAGGTAACTATGCAAATTCACGTGAAACTTGCTGCAAAATATCTTTTTTCTGCGGCAGCTGAGATTCATAGACCGACAGGGATTGGCAGCAGGATATAGAAAGGATACGATTATCATCATCATCATCATGATGTTGGTGGTCATTTTGATTAGAAGCCCTAAGGCTTAATGAGGAGTTGGGAAAGGAAATCGGGTGGCTGTTCATGTGCTCGTGATGTGTAATTAATTTTCGGCAACATCTGTTTATCCTAATTAGAGGCGATACAAATACACACATGCCCGTGGAGGGGGCGTGGCCAGAGGCGTTCTCTTTTCATTTATCATTATTACTGGGCTAGACCAAAACAAGACCAGGCTAGGCCAAAAGGTCAGTTAGATAAAAGTTGGAATGTGAGTCGATTAAACGGGCCGAAATCAAGTGAATAATGGCCACAACAGCTCTCGCATGGCAAGTGCCCTCCGTTCCCACAGTTGCGAAAAAAGGGAGCTCCATAATGAGTTCGCAATCATGTATTGGCCATAGGCGGAATTGTAAGCCAAAACTTGACTACAAATCGTAAAAAATGGGAGGACGCAATCAACGCCTCGCTCTAATGGAAAATTGGGCAAATTGAAGTCGGGCAACTTTGTCATAAAATGAAATTGCTAGAAAAATCAACGAATGGTATAATCAGAATAAGGCAGAGCGGATGGATGGCCCATCCAAAAAAAAAAATTAGGAAAAAAGGGGAGAGTGTGTGTCCTTTTTTCAGCCAGCCAGTCCTTTTGACTGACTCTTCACCGAATTTGCCAATTTATTATGCGTGCCTTCTTTTATTTGGCCATGGCCAACAGTCTGTCTGGTCTGGCCGAAAGGTTAACAAGCCAGAAAGCGTCGCAAATCAAAGGGAATTTCAACTGGCTGCAGGCGAATGCAGATTAAGGGAATCAAGGGCTTATAATTAATCAGATCTCTCGTTGCCTTCTTATAAGTACATAAAATCGCATGCGATTTTCCCCTCAAACGACTGTTGCGCCTTCTTCTATTCGGAAAATTCTGTTTTGGCTGTGCAAAACGTTCTTCATATTTTCCAATGTTCCATGCTTCACCTGACTGCTTCGTGTTCCATTACCATTTCGTTCTACCACGATTTGTGGTGCCAACAGTTGGCGTTGGAAATTCAGTTCGTGTTGAAAATTCTGCCGAGTCGGTTGTGCGAATTCGCACGAGCGGAGAAAATAACTGGCTAACGGTACTTGCCGACGGCACATAACGGTAGAAGACAGTGTTAGTGTGTGGGTGTATTGAAGTGTGTGTTTGTGTGTGTGTGTGGAAAAACCGAAGCCGATAGCCTATGATCGCAAAAAACATCTGTTTTCAAAAGTTGAATTTTAAGAGTCCTTTATCGGAGCAAAAGGATATTTGTTCCACATTAACCATTATTAATAACCGAAGCCTAAGCTCGAGGCGGCTACGTGCTTTCTGGCCATACAAAAAAAAAACAAACAAAAATATTTAAAATCTCAAAAAAGCGCCACGAGTTGCAGTGAGTGCATTCATAATGAATTCGCGGGTGTGAGACGAGTGTGAATGTGTCTTATGTGATTTTATGGGGTTTTCTTCAGAAACCTTTTTCTAGCTCGTTTTTCGCAAATCAAAACGCTGACTTTTTTGTTACATTTCGTTTCGTAATTTCCCTCATTAGCAAACAATTTGGCATTCTATCAGCGAGAACAAACATAGCATTGTCAAAAGTGCAATTTTCATAATTGTCCCGCTGTCACATTTGCACATAGTCGTATGCAAAAATAAACATTTCTGTTTATAGATGATCCCAAACATGATGTCAGCCAACCAATCAGAATAGAATTTCTTTCGATTTTTGTTTTTGTTTTGTATTTGTTACAGCAATGACAGCAAATAATTGTTTTGCCATAAATTGCCAGCACAATCTTGCCAATCTATGCAATTAACAAATAAAACATATTTCAATCAAATTCTAGCGCAAACAAACTATTAATTTCACAGAAACCCGGCCTAACAACGCCCCAATAATCGAAAAAATCAACAAAACATTGAGAATTGAAAACTCTAAACCGAATCTGAGAACTTTAAAACCATTTGGCTCAGTATGGAGATTTTAGGCAAAGTGCGTGCAATTATTCAACGCATGACAACCAATTAATTGGCAAAAGAGAGCGAGAGCACAGCCCGCGGGCAGCAACAACTAGTTGAGAGACCCCCAGAAAATATATATCATATATCTGGGGAGCCGGTTAACGCCTGTCAGTGCATCGGAAAGGCAACAACAAACGGTGCGGCAAACACTTGACCGCTTTTCCAAAACGTTTCGGCGACGGTCGCTAAGCTAATCTCACCCAGAAAACTACGCTCACAATCGCCAACGACATCGCGATGATTTATGCAGGTGAGTTAGGAACACTTTTAGCAATTAGACATGGAAAAACTCATTATTATATATTTCAATTGGGATATAGATAAGGAAATATATATTTATATCGGGAATTATCTATAACTGATAATAAATAAAAAAAATTATATTACCATTAGATGACATTAGCAAAAGCACTTGGCCATAAAAAATAATTAGCCTATTCATACGCCTTTTATGATACTTGTATAAGCACTATAAAAAAACAAGAATTTTAACATATTTTAATAAATTGATTTTACCAATATTTATTGGCCCCGATAATATAATAAATTAATATAATGGTTTGTCTTAAATCTTAGGTAATTATACTTATATTAACTATTTACTAAGCGGGTTGTATATTAATTTTTTTTCTATTGGAATTCAAAGCTTGTGAAAAAAGGAACATCACATTTTTTAAGTTAATTTCAACAGCATTATGAATCGGTACCAGCAGAATATCCGAAGCTGTAGATCAGGCACTGAGAACAAGCATTAGTGGCAAGCGGAACGGGCTATAAATCCATAGACTCAGTTAATTGCAAACCCATATCAACATCCACGAAGGCGACGACGCAATTACTAGGAGGGGAAGACGCGTGGCATACAAATTACAAAGCAAAACGGAAAAATTCGTCAAGTGTTTTTTGTGCATTTTTGCGGTTGTTTTTGTTTTTTTTCTTTCTTATTTTTTCGCCCAGAGCTTAGCACGTGCCCGTAGCCCGCCTTCGGTTACAGATTTTGTTTATTCACTTTCGGTAGCCTAATTAACTAAATTGGCTTGCCTGTTGACAATGGAAACCAGAGTGCGACCTGACAGCACTTGGGAAGAGTTCAGACTTCCCAGTGCTGTTGCTCCAAAAGTGTGAAGCTTAGCAGACACACACAAAGGCCAGTTGACAGGTGAAATGGGGGCAAACAATGGAAGTTGTTTTGACAGGGCCACAATGGACCGACCGACCGGCCCAATAATGCGGACAGACAGACGACGACGGTTTAGTTGGCTTTGCCAGCCCAGCCGAGCAGGGAAGCGACTGGGAAATGTAGTAATAAATTAGGTTTTTTAATGTATCCCCATTTATTTCAACTTAAAGTGTAAAATACCAGGCAGCCAGACTTTTATTTAGTGACACTCAAACAGACATCCCCAATATGCGGCTAAAGTCACGACTCACTGACATTAATTACCCCGCTTTCCCGAAACCGAAGCTTTAGCTGATAATATGCCAGAAAATAGGAGCGTTCTGAGATTCAGAAACCTATAAGATAACACCGTTGGAATATTTAAATATTTTTGTTGAAAACGTGTACCCCTACAAACTTTAAATTTTTTAATCATTATTTAAATTAGACTTGTAGTTAATTTATGTTAAATGTCATAAATAAGTTAATAAACTCTTTAGTTGTTACTTTACTCTTTATTTGATAATTATTTATAAAAATTAAACGATTATCTTTTGTTACAATAATTTTTTTCTTTTAAATGCAAATAAAACCTTTTTTAAGCTATTGAAAAAACAAAGAAAAAACTTCAAGTTTCTTAATGGTACGCAACCTTTCTTTTATCTTTTATAATCCCTTTTATTTTCTGTAATAATTAATATAGTACAAATTATAACAAAATGTATTACATAAAGTCATTATAAACAAGACTTAAGAAAATGATGTCCAAAAATGTAAAACCAAAAATCCTAAGTTTTTTCCCTGTACTGAAATCACGTTTTGACCAATGTCCCTATAGCCATCTATGGCAATCTTTACGCTTGGCCAAGCACCGGGAACTTGGAACTGGACAGGGAACTGAGCATTGGAAACTGCGAACTCCGAGTGGTAACAAAGCTGACCGTACCATAATTCTGGGCTATGTGCAGCGCTCTGTGAAGGCATTCAAATTGCTTCCTTGTCCAGCTTGAACAACAATGGCAACCTACGTGCATAAGCCACCGAAACCTGAGATTCTTTACCCGAGTCGAACACAAAAGAGCGTCAGCATAGAATTGTGCAACCAGCGAAGCAAATGACTTGCCACTCGGCCCGAGGGTAAAACTTTGCAACAACGGAAGGGAAAGCCCACACGTACTTGGCAATAAAACAAACCAAACCAGTTGAAATATATTAATGGGGCGGGCATGAAATTGTTTTAGGTGTTCGCTGTTATGGTATGTGTGTGTTGGCATTAAACTTGGCATTAAATAACAATAACCTGGCAATAACAAAAAAGTGGTGTAGAATGAGCAGAAGGAACCCTTTCACTTTCAATCCTACACTCACTTTTTGCTTTTCTTTTTGTTTACGTTTGTGCCCCTTCATTTCGTGCCACTTTGCAGCTTTATTTCGAATTTCTCACCTCGCGTCCTGCTGCTCGGCACACACGTTGTATACGCAATGGGGCTCATGTAAGAAGAGACAAGAGACAAGAAAACAATGGCAAACACACGATATTACGTATGCGACGTGTGGGACGCTATCTGCCCAAAAAATAAGAGAAAAAGCCATGGAAATGAAAAGTACATATCTGCTTAATGTATTTAACACTCAGCGAGCACTTTTTATGTTGCCAGCCTCATTTCATTTGGCTCCTTCGGGCAATGATTTTGTTTTGTTGTTTAGGTGGAAGGCAATCAAATATCCCAAGGCCAGATCTCGTAAAAGTTTTGATTGACACGCAGTGGCCTGCAAATTAACAGCTCATTGCAATGCAGCCACAAAGTGGGTGGTGGTAGGTGTTTCTTGGCGAAATGAAGCATAAAGAAGGTTGGCCAAGAGCAACTGAAACGGAAATGAGTTCACTGCTCGTGGCGGGCTTAGCTCTTGAAAAATCACCTAATTCAAAAAGGACTATCGCCAGCGCCCTGTCCTCTGGAAAGTCTCAAGTCACTTGGCTTGGCTTGGCTTTTATCTGTAGAAGTGGGATACCAACGAGGACGAGGAGGAGTCGTCGTTGTCGAGTCGACAAACTAATTTAAAAATCCACTTGCTAAGCGTTTCCCACCTCCGAGTTCCATCAGACCATCGGCCGAAGAGGCCACTCTCTGGGGCCAGGGCTATTTATTTTTTCATTCCTTGCCTTTTATGATGATTTTGCACTGCGTGGAAATAGTAGAGCAAACATTTTAGCCCCCAAGTGTTTAAATATAAAGCGGAAATGAGCTTTACTCCAGGTCCTTAGGCTCACTCCAATGGGTTTTCTTTCTTTTTTTCCTTTTTTTGGTTGAAACGTGCCAAATGAACTGAGGTCTTTGCTAAGAACTTTTACTCGCCAGAGTGTCTATGTCTATGTATATATGGAAATGCTAATTAATGACTGCAACTTTCTTCGCCAGACACTTTTGAATTAATTGCACACCTCCACTAGTCAGTCCAATTCCCATCCGAGAATCGTGCAAAATGCCAGACACGAGCCATGTTTGGGATTCCAACGCCCAGCCACGCCCGAGCAATATTATTGAATAGATAAAGTCACATTTGCGATTGCATCGAATGTAAAAATAAAATGTATTTCTGTACTTTTGCTCGGAAAAGCAATTTATGGATTTGATTTCAATTGTTTTGTCATGTTGATTGGCAGTCGGAATTGGCAACAACTCATAGTTTGGCAGCTCTGGCAGCTCTCCTCCAGCTATCTGTTCGATGTCGATGGCAGATCATGATTGTCTCACCCATCTCGTTGCTCGATTAGTCAGCAACGAACTTTAACCTCTATACCCCGAAATCGAATGGAATCAATTGAAAACCGAATTTGGTTTCCTGGGTGTGTGTGTATGGCTATGTAATTAATCTAATTTGCAATTTGCCTGCCGGGCAGCATTTGGCTTTTGTGTGCCATTACGTCTGTGCGTGTTGACAAAAGTCAAACCCAATTCCAATCAATGGATTTTCTGCAGCTGTTCATGCATTCACTACAGTGACTTTCATTAGTTAATTGATCAAGCGTGGCGAAATTTGAAACTCTTCGGGCTTCCAACCCATTCAGATAACTTTTTCAAGCATTTATTTTCTTTACTTTTTTGTTTACTGCAATGGTTTTAGTTTGTGCCATGAAAATTCTTTTATGACAGCATAAAATCCAAACACAAATTATTTCGCACATAAAAAAGCATAGCAGCGCGAATACAAATGTCTAAAAAAAACGGCCGACGAACATAATGCGACATAGACAGCCAGAAGCCGACATAAACAGACATATCCAGGCATAAAAGGAAAAGTTTTATATATATATATAGTCTTGCACTATACTATATAGCAGGACGATTCCAGCGAGAGTGTGTGCAAACAGAGAACCAAAGTGCCCAAAGCGTTTTCACAGTCAATTTTGTATGTAAAGGCAAAGACAAGACAACGCCTGACATGTGAGTTGGGGAATGGTGATGTGGATGAGGATTCTGTCTGCTGTGAGGAGGACCAAGAGAAGAAGGGTTTGGCTTAGTGTAAATTTTTATATTTCGTTGTGCATGGCACATAAAACCTTTTGTTAGACGAGCTGCATGTGTGGGTGGGTTTGTATACATTTAGGACGGCAATGAGCATGAAAGCCATTAGTTAACTCTCACACACACATACTTACGAGTATGAACAATTTTAAAGAATCTTCTTGGCTACTAAAATCTTTAAAATGTTATGACCAAAAAGGTTTATACAGAAGAAACCAATTTGGTAAATGGGTTAATCCGTTTAATTTTTAAATCTTCTAACTGCTTTAGCTTAAACTTCATTTTTATTTATTTTTTGACATTATAATTTTACCCAGATCATGTCATGCAATTCGATTAATTTAAATTGATGCTAAAATATTACTTTTGGGAGCATTTTAAACGTTTATCCTTAACATCTGTTCATATTTTCCATGCATTAAATATTTACATTTAAATGGATGAAAGAGAAAAAAAGATATAGGAAACAATTTGTGAAAAAATAAAGCTGTCTATCCAGTGTTAACCACAAAATGTATAATAAATTAAATATCCCTTAAGGGTAAGCCATTCCCCAAAATTGATTTTCCCATTCAGTAGGCCAAAAATAAATGTGTATAAATACAAACCCGCTGTATTAACAATAATCCTGTTTGGCCAACACAAACTTTGAATAAAGTAAACAAGCTGAAGAAGGCATAAAGTAAGCCCCCGTCCAAATGTTGGTTGTTGTTGTTTTGCCCAATTTTACCTTAGCAGTGGCACAATGAAAAAAGCTACACTAAGAGAGAACGAACAAACAAACTTGTAAACAAATGAATGCGGACAAAAAGGAAACGCGAGGCGAAGGCAAATGTAATGACACTTAAGTGGCCCTGAATCTCAATCTCTTTGCAGTCGAGTGATTTCGCCATGTCGCACTTGGCAACACAGAGCCATCCACTTGGTCACCCCGTCCTCGATGACGTATGTAGACTGCTCTTTATGCCCTTTTATTTGTGTTTCCTTTTTTACGACCATCTAGGGCATCATTATCGATCTGGACAATCTTAACCACTTGAAATCTTTATTACCATGCTAATATCAAATTCATATTTAATGAGTCTTTATGTGATTTATTCGCTGGATTGGATGTTCCCAGAATTTTGTTTTCTTTGGTTTAGCAATTCATATGATTTAGCTCTCTTGGTTTGCTTTGTGTTTACTCAAGTTAATGAGATTCTGTTGTTGTTACACATTTTCCACCTTTCGTTGCGGGAATTCTCTTCATTTAAACTCGAAAATTAACCCCTTTGTGTCTATTTACCGTTTTTTTCTTTTTGACGTATTTGGCAGTCAACTAATTAAGTTTACCAGGCCAGTGAATTGTGTATGCAACGCACACAGTTTTCCCCTAATTCGTCGGAAGTCACTCGTTTTCCGGTCTAAGGATAAAAGTGCCTGCACATGACATGGCCCGACTCTGCGAACGGTGCACATTTCCAGCTGAAAGCCGGTGGGTTGATTTAATTTAGCGAACACGAGCTTAAATGAGATCAGTATATGGCTGGGGCTCAGCGTTACAGGTAGTGGATTATGGCCATAATAGCGCACAAAGGGTCTATTAAATTTACATACTTGTTGGCCATTTAATTCCATGAAGAGGGAGTTGCTTTAAAATGAATCAATGCCTTCGTGTTGGCCGGTCATAAGGTAAAAATGAATATATTTATTAATAGGTGTCCACACAGGATGATCCTGGGTGTGCCACAGGACACGGGCCACTGGCCAAATGTGAATAGAAATTGGCCAGGCCTAAAGGAAGCGAATGCTGAATGTCATTAAATACAAATTATGGTTATTAGCGGACGAAGGCCAGTCCAGGCTTGGCCAGGCCCTGACAATGATTTGACCTTCTTTTTTCGGGCAAAACGCGTCGAAAATTTAAATGACGCATTCGGGCATTATATTCATTTATAACTACTTCTTGACCAGAATGATTTGGGGGATATTCTTATTAAAATATTACCATTAAATATGCGCGAAGGCGCCACGAACTTTCCATTTTGGTCGCACCCATGACTTATTCAATGTTTACAATGTTGACAGCCGTGCCGCGTTTTCAGTTCGATTCATTTCGGTTCAGTTGGCCACGGTCAAGGAACACGCTCAAGTTATTAAACATTGATTACCTATCGATTTTATCCTTGTTTTTGTTACATTTCCGCTCCGATTTCACGCCCCTTTGTCTGCCGGGCCGAACTCGAGTGTTTGGAATTCGAAAAGTAAAAGATGGCTGGCAGCAAATGCAAATTACCTGTGAAAATGCAATTTCTCATCTTTTCACAGTTGCCGCAACGCAGTTTGACATTTAATTTTCGGTACCAAGGAAAAGGCCATCTGGAAATGCCCCTGTCAAGTTGACAGCGTGTGAAATGGAAGAAAATGGAATAAATTTGGAGGCTCTGTATACACAGACAGACAACTAAAAGGAAATATTCTGCGAAATGGGCAAATTAATCAGAGGGAAATGGGCGGAAAAGACTTTAAGGATTACAAAGAAAATGTTGGGAAAACTGCATGCAGCAGCAGAAAGTTGGAAAGGGCTCACTCAATCAAGATTGAGTTACTTGTCAGTTTTTGTTGAACAACTTACTTGTTTATTTATTTTTCGCATAACTTTTCAATAGAATGCAAGACTTGAAAAGTTTCACGTCTTCTGCACAGTCACTTGCAAAAGTTTCCTGTCAGGCAATTAGTAAATACTGATAGCTTTTGTCAGTCTCTGGCAATATTCCCGAGAAAACCGATTGGATTTATTGATTGTCATCTAAGTGGCTTGCACAAGAACTTCACCCAAACCGAAAAGGAAAATCTTGCCTTCTGCCCACAAAACGATTTGAACTATCTGGTGATTTAAGCTGCAAGCAACGTGACAATTTAGCAAAATAATCTAGTGCATAAAACAGCAATTGGCAGTTGAAAATTGCTCTTGATAACTTCCTAAGCTCACATGAACGAACTGACAACAATTGTCATCATAAGTATTCGTGGTGTTGACTTGTTGAACGTTTAATAGCGAATGCGCCTTGTGATTGATACAAATTTTATTCTATATTTGTTTTTATTATTTTTCAGATATTTCTAGCGAAATATTCTGCAGGACTGGCAAATAATTGACATCTGAGTGTATGCTACACTAAACTTGTTTGATATGTAAACCGCGGGTCCTGTAAACAATAGTGTAAACACCGATATATTGCACTCCACGATTTTCGACTATTACGGCCACATATTGACACTGACTAACCTCCTGGAGTGCAGTGGTTCTGGATGGAGACAACCTGCGGGTGCCGGGGCCCACGAGACGCACAGGAATCAACTGGAGCGACGGCATCGGCATCAGTATCGGTATTGGTATCACCATTGGCAGGGGCATCGTCAGCGGCATTGGCCACCGGTTGCCACGAGAAACCGCAGTTTCAACAACAGCAGCCACATCAACAACATGGCCATAAAGCAACAGCACCGAGCAAGCTGTAATTCATGGTTACAACTACCCAACGAACTGCTGATATTGGTAAGTAGATGAACTGACTTCTCAAAAGGCAAGGTGGGGTGTATTTACTAAATCAGTGGGTGTCTATTTATGGCAGTCAAGACTATCTTCTCTTTTTCTGCTTTAAATTTAGCTCAGAAAATGGATTTGATATTAAAGGCTTTTATTTTTAAAGCTGTTGGTAATTTAAAGAACAAAAACACCTCATGATAGAATATAATGTATCACAAAGAATAACGAATAAAAAGGCTTGTTTCCTTATTAAATATATAATATATAGTTAGCTTAAGTAAAACATGCAAAATTTATGGGTGTTATATAATTAAAAAAGTTTTTGGAAGTGTTAGTCTTATTAAGCGTAGAGTCAACTGTTAAAAATTCTTAATTTATAATTCCTGTTTTGGTAAAGTCAACAGAGACATCTTTGTAGTTACATTTATAAATTTTATAGTAAATATGACGACTATGATATGTAAATGTCACATTTGCCGGGGCTCGAGGTCTTTTTTGATTTCCATCAAGGGTTCAGTTTCTAGGTCGGGACTGGCTACCCAACTGCTATATCTTGATTTCTCTGACAACTTACACAAACAGCAATCAATCAAACAATTTGCTTGCGACTCTATTTACCCAAAGGACTTGTGAGAAATGGAATGCATGTCGCGCTCAATTAGTCAACCTGCTTGTAGAAGTTGTGCTGTGCGTTAAAAATTTAGTTGGCAACATTTCCTGTTATTATTTCCGTTGTGGCAATGTGGCACGCACGTCCTGGCTCGCCTCCGTTCACTGAGCCTCATCAGAGTATACGAAAGGGAGTAAACTTCTGCTTCCATAGAAGTAAAATAGTTGACAGTCGTAGGCACGTCCTAGTTGTGTGGCCATAGCTGTGTTGTTGCTGCAGCTGCAGTTGCACAGCAGCTGTCAGTTGCACATTTCGCCAACGGCGATGTTGAATTTGTCCTCCCAGTACTGCTTCGCCTCCAACATGTCCTCGTGAATGTTGCAATCAACTCTGACACGATGATGTCTGTGCACCAGACATTGATTATCTTGTAGTTGTCTGTTTGCCTAGCTACTGCACTTTACCGTTGGCCAAATGAGCGGCAATAAATCCAATGAATATATATCCATAAGACGGGAGACACTTTTATGTGTCTTCTCCGGCAAGTGCTCGTAAAGCTGCGTATGCTCATCGACCCATCGTCACACGTTCCATCGTAAAACAGCTAAGAAAAGTGAAAAAGCAGGGGATCTGCTAATGGCCCAACTACTTAACATTATCAGCCGGGCGAGCCATTAATTAAATTTTAAATTACTTCAAGTAATCCTCATAATAAATCAGCACCCACCCTAGGAAGAACAGATTCTTGACAAGACCACTCCATCCAGTTATCACTTAAGCTGGCTCACAGTTCTCAGCCTTTGGACAAAGCCAGCGAACACATCGAGAGGCTTTGGCCCTGTCATTTGCATTTGATTTTCAACAACGTAATTTGCAGTACTAAGGATTTTCAAAAGCCTAAAGCGAATTTAGCCGAGGTTAGTTTTTGAATGTTAAAGTTCAGGCCTGACTGCTTTTATTTGGCCATAATGGTTGGTAGGTTGGTTGGAGGACTATCCCCTCCATGTTATTAGGGAGCCATTCGCGCGCAATTATCAGAATTAAAAGTTTTTGCGGGAGCTGTCGTCGAGCAATTGCAGTTGGCAGAAATCAGCAAGCCGCAAAATTGTTTTATCTGCGTGGGCGTTGCCTTTGCGGCACTGGAAAATGGTTCGGTTTCCGGTTATGTGGCCACTGGAAATTGTTGCGAATTTCGCGTTTTAATTTAACTCATTTAGCGACCGAAAGTACGCGTCTGGCTAATTGGTGGAAACTTGATTTTACACCACAAATGATGCGGCATTGTTAGACCAACTATTTTTCATCTTTTTTTTCGCTTTCGGAAATGGTTTTTCACTTATTGTACTAATTGAAATATCCTATTACTGGCGAAAAGTAATTTCATTCTAAGCTGATTACAATGCGTTGTCGTTGTTGGGAAATTTATTTTTTGTTAGCCTTAACGTTCACTTTTTAAATTAACCAACAAAATAAGAATAAAAATGTTGCCCGAAATCTGAAAACGTCATTGCCTTGCGGCTTAATCAACTTGTTGCAATGCCCCTGGCAGCTTGCCATTCATCTCTTTGCTAACTTTTCAGAAATATGATTTGGTGCAATTTCTCCAGAGGTTTTATTTTCATTGCCCTTACTTTTAATTTCCTCTCTTGCTGGGCCAAACAAATTGAATTCCCCTTTTTTCGGGGGAGAAAGTGTAGTGCATTTATAAAACTTCACCTCCTTTTCGGGGTCACTGTGACTGTAATTTAATATTTATTTTGCTATAATGGAATTTTATGCTTAATTTGTATGCACAAGGCATGTCAGCTAAAATGTCTCTATTGTTTTTCATTAAATATACATTAAATATTAAGGCTTGGTCAATAAAAGTAAAGCACTTTGCTGATATTCGAGACGTTGAATTTTATTTAGAAACGTATTTACTTACAGGTTTGTTTGCCTACAAAAACGGATATTAAAGTGACCAATCAAATTAGAATATGTAAATAACTTTTCACTGATATATTGAGATAGCATTTAAAGTGATATTGCTTCTGTAGAAAGAATAAAAAGAATAAAAGCATTTAAAATGAGCCATTAGTAGGATATGAACGTGTAAAAATAACTTGTAAGTGCATATATATATCTGTATATGACTCAGAGAAGTATATTTAAACTTTTTTACGCCTTTTGACATTTTAATTTTTTCGTTAAGAACTCTGCTAACTTTTTAATGCTGCGGTAATTAAATTTAATTTGCTTCAAAGCGCCACCTCTGAGCTCCTTCTCACTTTATATTTTGCTCTTTATGTCATCGTCAACTAGGCGTATGCGTAATGCGACAAAAAAAGCAGCATTGCAGCAGCAAGCTGAAGTTTCAAATACTCTTTAAAAAAATCAGATAAAAACTTGGAAAAATAATGAAATTATTTCAAATTTTATTTTATAACATAAACAATCTTGTGACAAGTTTGAATTACAAACCTGCTGCTGTTTTTTTATTCAATTTTAACGGCAAATCATTATGCAAGTGTATTTGCGTGGGTGAAAAAGCTTTCACAACTCGGTTTAAATGCCAATTATTTATTACGCTCGGCAATTTAATGTTGCCGAATTTCAGCGTGCAACTCAATTTGGGCATTTCTCCTTATTAGCTGCCACAAAGCAAATTTCGGCATGCAAATTTTGTGCGCCAAGAAAATGCCATCAACTGCTGTCAAAATTTTACGGGGGTTCGAGGAAAACCTTCTCCCTGCCTCAAAACCTCCGGCGAAAATGCTTTTAAACTTCGCAACTGGCAACAATTTTCACTGCCAAGCCTCCTCTTTGGCCTTTGCATTTTGTTTGTCATGTGAGTAATTTATGCGGCCCTCGTGCACGCACTTCTCGTTCCGGATTGGCAATATTGCGGAATATCCCCTGGCTGGCTACTACTTTGCCAAATGTTGGGCATATTTTGATTAACCTGACGTTTGCCTTCAAAAGGTTAGCTAGTCGCACTTAGTGTGCACTCATAACAAAGTGCTACCTTGAACTTAGCCCGTAATCAATGATTTGCCAAGTATAATTTACAAATCGATATGAGGTTATATACTGTCGGTTGATTGACAACTTTGAGTTTGAACAGGTTCCCATGGATCTGGACTTTTGTTATAGGTACCTTTTTTGCCAAGTGCCCTTCAGTTCTGCATTATTAAAATCACCTTACAAAATATTGAACTGACCAAAAACAGGTGTTCTTTAGCACATGGTTTAACTTGCCAAAAGTTCACACAATTTGAAGCAATGTGTGTTTCCACCCAAAAAGGTGGATTAGTCTTAAGGCGAATGTATATTTTAATCGATTGGTTGCGTGCTGTGAATATTTCATGCCCGGCAATTACCCCGAAAATCGACCCACGGGAGGCTTTTGAATTTGGTGGCTCTTTTGCCAGTTATTTTGGTATTTGGGTGCGTGCCTGGCAATCGCCGTTGAAGCCATTAAAGTCAAAAATAATTTCAATTATCGATTAGCACCCAAATCGTGCGCGAATATTTAATGCGTCAATGAGCTCGTGTTTATGGGAGTCGATTGCTTGTTTAGCTGATTTTGTAGTTTATCGAGCATTATGTCCGACAATATCAGCCATTTCAATGAACATCTCTTCATTCAGACTCTCAATAATGGAAATGTGCTGTCAATGCCGATTCGCATGCCAATTCATTCATAGATTTCACCAAACAGACTCACATACACAAATACACATTGCTATTATAAACGACCGCAATTAATTACGGCAATTAAATTGCAATGTGCAACTGCAGCTGAATACGAAGTGGGAAAGAAATGTTATGGCTACTTCCTCGCCAATTCAGAGAAATTCCCCCTTATGGCGGCATTATGTATCCGCAAGTATTTAATTTTCCATTATTGGCGCAGGTCAGCATCGGATGAGACTTGAAGGTTGGGGCTTATGTTGTCTTACAAAACAATTAAGCAAATACGCCAACGGGCGTTATGGTTTATCCTTTTTTTTTTCATTTTTTTTTTGTTATTGTTTTTGGTCCTCCCACAGCACATCCTTCCTCTCATCTTACTTTTGCCTCTAATTGCCCTATTTTTATATTTATGGTTTTGGGCGATTTCATATTTTGTTCTTAGCTTTTCATTTTACTTGTAGCGCGCATTAAAGACTAATGAAAAGAAAAATGTTAAAGTGTTAAAATACATGACCAAAAAGGCACCAAATTTTCGATATATATATTTTTTTGTAGTTAAGTCACCACTTAATTTTTTTTAAAATTTGTCCCTTTAAGACTTAAATTAACTATAGAACTTCACTAAATTTCAATTAATATTCCCTAAGTTCCCGTTTATAATTATGTAATTTTTAAGTGAAGCTGTTTTCACGTTTTTCCTTGTTTTCAAAATAAAAGTAATGCCTTTTAGTCATGTCTAGTACACGCACATTAGTATTTCATTTGGGTTTCCTTGTTTAACGACCACTTCATTCACTTTTAGGCTATTTATAGACCAGACTTTTTATAAATTAATTAGGCACGCGAGGCAGCCAGGTTGTGGTAGCAATTAGTAAGCGTTTCCTTTTGTTCCAATGTCGGTTGCAGATGGTGAACACAGATACACACCCATCGCAACAGTACCGCCATGAATGAGACAGAGTGCGAAGATCTCATCAAATCTGTGAAATGGACGGAACCAGCCAATCTGATCTCCCTGGCCGTACTCGAGTTCATCAACGTTCTGGTCATCGGTGGCAACTGCCTTGTGATTGCCGCCGTCTTCTGTTCGAATAAGTTGCGCAGCGTAACGAACTTTTTTATCGTTAACCTGGCTGTGGCTGACCTTCTGGTGGGTTTGGCGGTGCTACCCTTCTCAGCCACCTGGGAGGTCTTTAAGGTAAGTCTATAAATTTGCAACTTTGTTGGATTTATAAAAAGGTTATTTTTAATTGAAATTTGATTTAAAATGACCACCTCATATACACCATTTTTTTTAATATACCTAATGAAAAACCTATCTTAATCTTATCTTATCAAAATAACTATCGTAATTAGTCAAAAATTCTTTCATATTGATCCAGTAGATATACTGAGATATTAGTTTATTAATTTTGTATATCATTTAATGCAAATCCAAAACAAATATTAACTATAGTGAATTAAAAGCCTACTTCCTCAATAAAATCCCATTTTTTACCGCTTCAGGTTTGGATTTTCGGGGATCTCTGGTGCCGCATTTGGCTGGCCGTCGATGTTTGGATGTGCACGGCATCGATCTTGAATCTGTGTGCCATATCTCTGGATCGCTATGTGGCGGTCACGCGACCCGTCACCTACCCAAGCATTATGTCCACGAAGAAGGCCAAGTCCTTAATCGCTGGCATTTGGGTACTCTCATTTTTTATTTGCTTTCCGCCGTTAGTCGGCTGGAAGGATCAAAAGGTAAGTTTCAAACAGTAGGTGACCCACAAGGTTGACCCATTGCGATAAATTAACGAAGGAAGCGCGGTTTGTCTCTGCCAGCGATGAAACCCGAAAAAGGCCGACAAAATTGAAAGTCGGTAAACTGTTTTTAGCACGCTCAAGTCTCGTAAAGAACAACAGCCAAGCGACTGCCAAAAGTCTTGTTTTTTCCTGTTGTTGTTTGGGGCTCCCAAAAACTGAGGGCCATTCTGTCATTGACACCATTTTGGGTCCGCTTGGAACTGGTGGTTGTGTGTGGTTGCTCAACCACAACGACAATGGCAACGACACTTTAGCTCGTGCCAAAGACTGCAATCCGGCTCATTTGTGCCAAAATTACCGTAAAACAAGACACAAGCTTCGTCCTTTTTCGACAGGGGGTCCTGTTTCTAATTTTCTACTCCGCCTTCTAACATTCTGAGCATTATTCTTACGCAATGACAATGGTAATGATGTGTTACACATGCCGCAACAACAATGTTAACAATTTATGGGCACCCCTGTCAGTGGGTAATCAGATCAGTTGAGATACATGACTACTGGCCCTTTGGCCCAGCGCCAGTTTATGGCTCTTTGGGTCGTTATTATTGTGCCCCGCCAGACATATCAATCTCGTTTGCCTCAAGGTGCCGATGAAGATATGATGGCTTCCTCCGTAATGACACCCGCATAGCTGCACACGCGAAAATGTATCTATCGAAGGACACTCACTCATCCTTCTCCATATTCCGCATTCGACTCAATTCAATTCGATTCAATAGAGAACTGCAGCGGCTGAGTGCAGTTGAATGGGCCACGTTTGAATGGATGGCATTCAGCTGGTTGCCATATTGAAACCCGGTTATCGAGTCGAGGCTGTTGGCATCGATTATTATTACGCCGCTCCACTCCGTTCGATTTCAGCCAGGATGCCAGGATGGGCTTTGGGTAATATCGTGTTGGGCCAACATGCCTCACATACAGCTCGCGGTATTTATTTCGTCAGGCTGTTGGCTTTTTGTTAACGCCACCTTTTCGTCCGGGTACGGGTAATATTTATGCGCAACACGTCGGCGAATATCTCTGGCAATATAAACCGCTTTAAGTTGCATTTTTATTGGCTTCTTAGCGCAGTGAAGAGGGTGCCAGGACGAGGCTGGAATTTTAATGGGCTCCTCTGAATATCAAGTGACATCTCATGATCCTATGTCTGACTCTCTATCTTTCTATCCCATTTCAGGCGGTCATACAGCCGACCTATCCAAAGGGAAACCATACGCTTTACTACACCACCACGATGTCAAGCTCGGAGGATGGTCAACTAGGCTTAGATAGCATTAAGGAACACGATGAGGCATCAGTGCCTCCGCCACCACATATGGGCAATGGCAACGCCTACAATCCCTACGATCCCGATTTCGCCCCCATCGATGGATCGGCGGAGATTCGAATAGCGGCAATTGGCTCGACCAGTACAACAACAACAATAAGGACGACAACAAGTTCTAGTACAACGGAAACTGAAATGGATCTTGATCTGTTGAACTTGCCACCGCAGAACAGACCTCAGACCATTTCCGGCAGCTGCCCATGGAAGTGTGAACTAACCAACGATCGAGGGTATGTCCTGTACTCCGCCCTGGGATCCTTCTACATACCCATGTTCGTAATGCTCTTCTTCTACTGGCGCATCTATCGAGCGGCAGTAAGGACCACCCGGGCCATCAATCAGGGCTTCAAGACCACCAAGGGTAAGTCACATCCGTAGCTAACTGACCCAATAACCACCAACATACCAACTCATTTGGACACGATTTGTTTGATCCTTGTCACCCACCAATTTGTCCTAACGTGTGCGTAGCTAACAGTTTGGTTTTGATACTCATCTCTCTTTCTATATATTTACATATATATATATATTTGTTCGATTTACCAAATAAGTAACGTAATCACGTAGCTAGTTCATTTTATTCAAGCTTTAATATCGATTGCTAAACAAGTTTCAAATCTCTCAACGTGTAGTCAATAGTGTGACGTCCCGTTTGTCCCGTTTTTTTATTTTTATTTTTGCGTTAGCTTAACGAAAAGTGTACAGATTTACACAAAGCATTCCACGACAACCCTCAAGTCACCCAGTTGACCCCTGTCCTCGTCCCTGCCAGAAAACGCCTGAACCCTGTGAAAGCATAAATTGTCGGCGAAGTAAATAAGAACTTACTGGGAATGTTCGTGTTTTGGTGCTCAGAAAATATGAGGAACTGTATAAATCGACGGCGTAAAAAGCGGAAAAAAATGAAAAAAACAAAATTGACAACTAAATTTACATTCATAAATAACTACTCGCACACATCCAACACACATGTATACATACAATTATTGTCGGCATTTTGTTTTTGTGTTTCGCACATAAAAAAACATGATAAATAACCTGGAAATGAGTAAATCTATAAATATATATATACATATGCATATACACTTAGTTAAAGCCCAGGCATTACAAAGATAACCCTTTACAACCAAATGCAAATAGAGCTCTGATTTTTATATGTTACGACCAGAGAAAGAACTTAAAATCCCAATAAAAAACCAAACAAAAACTCTGTAAAATACGGATTAAATCTAAAGTCCCTGTAATTTAAATCCCTTTAACATAATTCAAATGAATGTCATAATAAATTAGCATCGGAAAGCCCTAATTAACTCATAAATATTAATAAGCCTAGTGTACCCATCTAAGTGAACAAATACAGATGTGTGATTAACAAACACTTCATATCCAAAGTTAAAATTGTGAATAACCACCTGCTATGACCCTGAATTTCCCCAATCGAATTTCCAAAAATACAAATCCTTCCTCTCCTTTAAGAATTCAATCATCCCCTAAGACCCGGAATCAACATCCGTATTCATTTTAAATTATCACAGCATTATATCAATCACATGCTCAAAGGAGAAGTCACGCATCATAATTAGCATTATATTCCGTGATGGGCAAAACATAGAAAAAATCGATGATGGAGGCTGAGGGAGCACATCAAACAAATCGGCTTAGATAAAAAGGACGACGGGATTAAATGAGAGTCGAGATTCAGCCATTAGAGGCATCCAGAAAATGGCAGACATAAAAGCGAACCATCGTCTAAGACAAAACAAAAAATAAGATAGGAATATGACTTCCCTGTTACATTCTGTTTTGCTGTTTGTGCAAAATTTTCTATTTTCTTAGGTATATGTCATTTTAGGCCTCAGTGGTCTCCAGAGGCGATAATCCCTATGGAACAGAGATTCCTTTTGAAGTTGCGGGACCACATTAAACTGGCATTGAATGTTTATTTTAATATGTGCCACATTACTCGGCCAGGGCCACAGCGCACTTTCTTCCGCGTGATCAGCTCATTGGGCACACTTCTCGGCTATATTCCATCATAAATTTACATATATATATATATCCATAGCAAGAGCCACGCATTCGTTGATAATCTGCAGTAACTAAAGCCAATCGGGTGACCGACTGACTTTAGCGAGAAAATCAATAGTTAACCCCCTCGGCTAATATATTAGCCATATAAATCCTGCTGTCTGCCGCCCGCTGGGATGTATGCTACTAAAATTGCATTTTAAAAGTGATTGCATACTTTGGGCACTGACTGCCGCCATATTGGAGTTAAGTCGATTTGAAAAACGGAAGTGGCAAGTGCATTTCGGGGCTTGCAGCTTAAGTCCAATGTTGCCGTCTACATTCCGCACCCGTTGCCTTGGATGTTGTTTTTGTTTTCGTTTTCCCACTACCATGTCGTTAGTTGGCGCCATTTTGAGCACAAAGCTCAGATTTGCCAGAAGCAGCAGCAGCGGCGAGCAAACACCCATCCATCCACCGCCACATACCACCCACTTTCTCACCAACACTGGCGAGAATCAGCGTGTGGCAGCCTTGAAATATGCTTTGTCTCCTGGCTAACAAACACACTTATACACTCGGAGACAGCTGAGGAGAGGTGTTTACCAACACACCCACACAAGGGGCGGATCCTTATAGTTTTCCTCAGAAACAGTTTTGTTCAAAATAAAAGTATTCAAGTAAATGATAATTGTCATTCATTTTTTTTTTTTACTATTTTTATACATTTTGTATTTTTACTGAAAAGTGAATCCTTAAGTTTAACTTTAAAATGTTCGACCTAATAGCGAGACCAATAACACTATTGGTTATTTTCTTAGAAACATCTTTCTTTTTGAGTGCATTTCTATATTTTTCCCAGTGTGATTATTTTGAACACAGACCATATACATGAGCAACTTGCCTGTGCGTGCAAAAAAGTCTGAAATCGCTTCGTGACACAATGCTGGTGGTGCTGATGCCTTTTGCCCGGGGTTCCCTTTATTTTTTGGAGGTAGGTCTACCAACCAACCCACGCGCCTTTTCAGTGGCTTTTGAAGGTAATCAAGTTTCAAGTTCAAAACTTGCCTTGGTTCATGGCGCCACCCGTCGACCACCAAAAAATGAAGGAAGGGGCAGCACTGTTATTGTTAGGCTTTAGAAATTTCAGAAGTGTGACCCTGGCCCTGTGTGTCAAGAACAGAACAGAACGGAACGGAAAGGATTCATGCAACTTTTAGTGCGAGCTGCCCCTGGCAGCCAGGCTTGAGTTGAGACCTGGACCTTGACTGCAACCACTTGTCTCCTGTCCCAGCCAGGCCATCGTCCAAAGGTCAAAAGCTGGCGACAACTACACATGCATGCATGTCCGCGAGCAACTGGCGGCGGAGCAAATCAATTCTGGCTAATTACCCAGCGACATTCAGAACTGTTTAATTATTATTAAATGCCATTCAATTAAAAGCCACACACAGCGGCCACAAAAATGTGGCGAGTGAATTGTAAATGCCAAATTAATGGACGAAAAATAACACCCAGACAGGGTTCTTTTCAATGGAATGGAAAGCATAAAGGCTGCCCCATCATTTCATTTCAGTGTGCATTTATGTGCAGGGATTATCCTTAGTGGAAAACAAAAGTTATACATTTATTTAAATCAACAACGCCGCAGGATGCGAAACATCCCGAGGCATAGGGAAAAGTAAGGCTTTCGCCGGGATTGCGCCTTCATATCTTGGCATATTTACATACATTAGGATATTTTTTCGTTATATAAATGTATATTTGTATACAAATTGTTTGTTTAACTTTCATTTTTTCTTCGGGCGGCGAAAGAAAATCAATAGTGTATCCTTTTTTTATTTACTGTATCCTGCATATGCTGGGCTCCTTGTTTGTACACATTTTCCTTTCGCTCACTTTCGTTTATTCATAGGCGAACCATATTTGTTCTCAATAGGTTTAATATGGTTTATGCAAATGAAGATGTGGCATGTTTCGCTTTAAATTAAGATGACTCCGTATGATACTCTGTGTTGACTTAACATGGATACATAACTGTGTCGCCGTCAATATTTATTCTGTTCACAACTCTGAAAAGATACCCGTCTGTGTTGTTACAATAACCAATAAATATGGGACGGGTCTATTTGAGTTAATTACTTAAGCCAATTGTAGAAAATATGGCTAAAATCGATTGGGACAATTCATTTAAGTATCCCCAGCTGACGTCTTTTGTTTCCCATCGAGACGGTATTGTTCTTAATTTTTCCACGGAGTACATTTAGCATTTCAATTCCATTTCCAGCCCTCCCCTCAAACCCTTCCGCACAATCCCACATAGAATAATAAATAAAATTAGGCCAATAAAGCCATTGCTCAGCGGGTGAAAAGCAGCTCGAACGATGAAGCAAAAAAAAGGCATTACAAATAGAACCCCAAATAAATTAACCAACTTATTTATAACAATTAATTAGCAAACAACATATTTTGCATTTCTAAATTATATGATCAATATCCATGAAACCCAAGTCCCCTGTTTAAGATATGCCTGGTCCTAGTTTTAGTCAACCGAAAATTAAAAAATTAAAAAAAAACAAGGAATATTTGATAAATCCCAATATCTGTACGTTTTTTCTTGTACTAGATTTTTATATATAATGGAATGAGCCCTTTTCTCTCTATAAATAATATGTTTGTATTTACAAAAGTAGAGCAGCATTTTTTAATACTCAATTACTCGTAAGTTTATTCCACCATTAAACCTATCTCAATGTAACATTTTTGTAGTTAGTTAACCGCTCTCTGTGAATTGTCAGTCAACAAAGTTTTTACCTTACTCAAGGGCAAACGTATCTTGCATCTACTTAAACGAATGTATCTAACTCAATCACCTAAATACAGCAGCCAACCGCAGCCACAGATCGTCCATTTAACCACATGTCCATGTACTATACAAGCTGAATGTCTGACATCCATGTAATCCACATTCACACAAGTACACATACCACCCAAAGAAACCACAAAACCACCGAAATTAATCCATGAGAGGTCACCGCGAAGCAAACTCCGCCAAATTGCTCCCACTCACTAATTGCAGGCAGTCCCCGGGAGTCGGGCAACAATCGGGTGGATGAGTCCCAGCTGATATTGCGCATCCATCGAGGACGACCTTGCTCCACGCCCCAGCGTACCCCACTCTCAGTGCATTCCATGTCCTCGACCCTCAGCGTGAATAGCAATGGAGGCGGTGGCGGAGGTGGAGCAGGTGGAGCCATGGGTTTGGGTGCCTCGGCCGAGGATCATCTTCAAGGCGGTAACCCCAAGCGAGCCTCTTCAATGCGTGTTTGCCGTCAGCGGCACGAGAAGGTGGCCATCAAGGTGTCCTTCCCGTCCTCCGAGAATGTCCTTGATGCGGGACAACAACCACCGCCTTCGCCCCACTATGCGGTAATCAGCAACGCCAACGGACGACGTGCCTCCTTCAAGACGAGCCTCTTTGACATTGGTGAGACCACCTTCAATCTGGATGCAGCTGCTCCAGCCGGTGACCTGGAAAGTGGACTATCAACCACATCACTATCGGCCAAGAAAAGGGCTGGAAAAAGGAGTGCCAAGTTCCAAGTGAAACGCTTCCGCATGGAAACCAAGGCGGCCAAGACCCTGGCCATCATTGTGGGAGGGTTCATCGTGTGCTGGTTGCCATTTTTTACGATGTATCTTATAAGGGCTTTCTGTGACCACTGCATCCAGCCGACGGTCTTCTCGGTGCTCTTCTGGCTGGGTTATTGCAACTCGGCCATCAACCCGATGATTTATGCCCTCTTCTCGAATGAGTTCCGAATCGCCTTCAAGAGGATCGTCTGCCGGTGTGTGTGCACCCGCAGTGGCTTCCGGGCGTCGGAGAATTTCCAGATGATAGCTGCGCGAGCCTTGATGGCACCAGCGACATTCCATAAGACCATATCCGGATGCTCGGACGATGGTGACGGGGTGGACTTTAGCTGACTAATCGGCAGTTACGAGCAGAGTCCGTTGCAGCGTAGCTCGTCGCTGCCGCAGGAGGCGGAGTGCTCGGGTTCTGTGTCCGGATCGGGACGGAGGATCCGTCGTGGTGGATTCTGCAAGGGAAGAGTCCTCTAAGAGCAGGAAGACAATGCATTTTGCTTTTTTGATACTTTTGTAAGCACCGCCAGACGCAGACGCATCCCATTTCTCAAAACTGTCAGTATTCGCATTGAACGACGTTGTAACTGTATGGCAATAATTTTCATGTATTTACCTAGACCTAAGGCTATGTTAAACTATATATATATATATATGTATTACTCTACTTACCATATGAGATATGATACAGATACATCACTATGAGATACACCTGTTAGACGTAAGCAGCCCATTGTTTTCAGTTTCGTTGTGTACATGTGTTAGCCGCTGAGGAAAACTCACACGCATTAGTTATCCAGATATATATATATATAGGTATATTGAATGTATATGTATGTGTGTGTATAGCAGCTGTGTAAGTCGGCTGCATTTTCAATAAAAGTAAAAAACGAACAAATCGAAAATCAATCAGAGAGTAAGCACAAAAGATAAAAACAAGTGCCGACCACGAAGACAGAAATTGGCAAATACCAACGGACAACTTGCGGGTATTGACAGAAGGCCAACATTCCGTGACATGAAACAAGTATCATAGACGTGGCTAACTTAACCGACGATCTAATACCCTTTCACTTTTATTATTTTGATTTATTAAGCAGGTCTTGATGAATACGAACTAGCCGCTATCCTTAAGATGAGAAATTTATATTTATTAGGAAGAAAAACATATTTTCTGACTTTATCTCTCTCTCTCTCTCTCGCAGATTTATCAAAATAAACTTTAAAGGAATCAATAGATAAAGTACACATAAATGTACTTTTTTCTTGTAAGAAAGATCTTAAGAAGACGATTTTTCACCGAATCTTTCTGACTTATCCTGATACAAAAACAAAGTAATACCCAACCTTCTCAGTTACCAAATTAATTATCCCTAGGAGAGACATAAGACTTCAGGCAGTCAAGCTAGCAACTCTTATAGCCGGATACTTTATTGTTAGATTTTCGGATCCCACTCTAATAGCAATACAATTGAATTGGACTTTCTCGGTTACTCCCACGCAAGTTGGCTGCCCATTCAAATATCCATAAACTCGAAGCAGACTTAAAGAGCGTTTTTCCTTGACAATAAGCCAGCTCTTAGTGCTTACTGCCAGAGAAGCAACAGGGCCTGTAATGGCTCGAGTAAAATAATGCATTATTGTGCCGATTATTCATTACTCGTCGCGGGTCGAGTAATGAAAATGTATTCAGCAGTTAAACGTGCGTATGAGTAATAAATGCAAAACGAGCACAGGCAGCCAACATATGCGCAGGATGAGCGAGCGAGAAAGCGAGGATTATGCAAATGGTTGTGTTAATGAAATAAGGTTCGCTTTGAAGGCGGCTTAAAGGCGACTACATTCCTTGAAAAGCCGAGAGAGGGGAAGTTGGTTGGGAGAGGGGTAAACATCGAAACGAGGACTACGACAACGTCGAGTGCTTGTCGCGTTTATGGCGCAACATTTGCATAATTACGCGTTTAATTTGCTAAAGTGCAAGCTGGCAGGCAGGCTGGCAAGCTGGCTCTTTTCCAGTGGCCCAAAAGCCGTGAAGTAGGCAACGAATTTCGAGTGCGTGCACCAGGGCGTATAAGCGATATTCGATAGAGAGAGAGGGAGTGAAACAAGCAATATACAACACCACCGAAATGTAATACTCTGTGTACTGATGTTCTTACTCTTCTTCTTCCTCCTCCTCCTTTGACCAGGTTCCAAGGGCATCGGTTCGCGCTTCGAGGAGCAACGTCTGACACTTCGCATCCATCGTGGCAGAGGCTCCAATCAACAAGATTCCATGCACAGCAATGGGAGCACCCAGAGCACAACCACAACTCTGGGCACTCCTTCTCCGGAAAGACTATCAAAGTACGCCACTCGAAGGATGCACCACCACGACAAGATCAAGATCTCGGTTTCCTATCCATCTAGTGAGAACATTAATGAGCTGGCCGGGCATGGGGATACGGGTCACGAGCGACGTCCATCGGGAAATGCTTTGTTCGCTGTTCACTACAATGGCACCAATGGCCGGGAGTCTACGGAGTCGCAGCTCTACAGACAGCAACAGCAGCACGGCGGAGCCAATACCTGTTACCTGCAGGTGGGCAAGGGTTTGCCGGAGTTGGCCAGAAGGCAAAGCAACACCAGCGAGGCCGGAGGATCTGGACCCTCTCGTCCAGCCAATAAAAAAATGGGCAGGCGTAACATTAAGGCCCAAGTGAAGCGCTTTCGCATGGAGACTAAGGCGGCCAAGACACTGGCCATCATAGTCGGCATGTTCATCTTCTGCTGGTGTCCCTTCTTTACCATGTACATTATTAGGCCGTTCTGCCAGGACTGCGTAGATCCGCTGCTCTTCTCCGTGCTTTTCTGGTTGGGATATTGCAACTCGGCCGTGAATCCGATGATCTACGCCTTGTTCTCCAAGGACTTCCGTTTCGCCTTCAAGCGGATCATCTGCCGGTGCTTCTGTTCTCGGCAGTCCGTCTCACTGAAGAGTTCCCGTCGTGGATCCGACATGTCGGCCATTCGCATCCGGGCCCGGACGCCCAGCATCACGCCCAGTGCAGCGGCTCACAGTTTTGGGGACGAGAGTGACCTACACCACTCCGAGATGAGCAACGATCCCAGGTGACGATCGTTTGGGCCCAGCTCAAGCTCACAAAGCAGCTTGGGTGGGTTGCGTAAGACGAGTCTTAAGGTACCCGTCTATGAGATTTGCCATCCGCTGGTCATGGAGACGGCCTGTTACTCCTATGTGGAGGCCACCAGCGAAGGAACTGCCTCCTGCTCCGTAGTCGGAGGCAGCGGTGGCGGTGGCAGTGGTAAGAGGACACAGTTGTAGCCACGGGAGCTAATGGCGCTGCGCGGAACAGGGATCGGGGGCGATTCCATTACCGGGGCAGCGACCAAGACGCGTGGTTCGCATCGAGTATAGCGATGCCAGGGTCTAGAATTTCAGAAGCTGAGGTAGCTACACTGAGGAAATATGTAACAACACATACTCTAAGACTAAATTTCTTTTTAAAATTGAAGAATAATAATTTTTGCTGAATTAAATTTTTTTTAAGTTTTCACAAACTATCTCAACTAGAATCAGTAAACAGTAATAAAGAAGCCAAAAAGAGTATCTCAGAACAACTTTTAAAATAATTTAATTGATTAAAGAAATTTTCTTTATCTTAACTGAAAAATGTATTCTCCCAAATTTCCTAAAAGGACTTTTCCTTAGTGTAGAACTCAGCCAAATGAAAGCTAAACTGGCAGCTTAACTGGCAACTGTAGCAATCCTTTGACAGAAAAGGAGGAAGGAAGTAGGATGGGAAGCCACCGCTCCAAATGCGGATTTTGCCTTGCTTTGAGCAAGAGCCTCTGTAAGCCAACCATTGTACATTGTACATAGACACCAGGTGAAGCCTGCATCGATTTATATTGTAGCTAAGAATGGCCATATGGCGAGGAGTTGTGTATATAAAGTCTAGCTAGGATATCACTGGCACTTGAGAGTTGTACCTTTTAACTTCCGTATGAATATTGATATCTGGTTGTTAACAAACTAACTAAGCAGAAACCAAAAATTGTTGCTAAACGCAAATAAAACATTACCCAGTGCTAAAACCAATTCGTAACTAGTAAAGTGTTGTTAATGTTGTACTCTCGAACCCAAAAACATATTATCCAGAGATGCAAATATCTATATATCTGTGTCCCGAATACATGTTAAATGCAATAAACGAAATCCCCTCTGCCTACCAACCTAATGTACGCATAATGACAAATGCAAATACTATACCAATATACGATCCTCAAGTTAAACGTTTTTGTGTGCTACAAATAAAGGAAGTTTCATTTATTCGGCAACTTAAACTGCGAGAGTGTCTTTGAGTTTTCCTGGGCTTTATGGAAAAGAGTTGAGCTGGGGCTAAATGGACAAGCATGGTTTTAATTAAGCGGAAGTACTTGGAACGCGGCGCTACAAAGTCGCCCCAAAAAACACAGAGGGGCAGCAAAAGGTGAGTGTGATAAAAGAGTTGCAGCATAAAGAAATTGCCGAGCAGCTGGCAGCTACAAAGGCCAAATTAAAAGCTAGAATGCCCCAGGCACTTCCGCTAACTGAATTAAAGGCTAAAGTGGGTAAGGTACAGTACGGAACACAACAGAATGAGTCCTGAATTTAAGTGTAGATACCAAGAACACATTCTCTTTTGATTGCTTCCCTCATGCGGCCACATAAACTAGACAACATCAAATGAGTCGGCCCACTAATTTATGCCCAGAAAATGAAGATTCTCACTAACTAAGCAACTTTTGCGTTGGGGCCCCGGGAAATCCAATTTATTTGCTTCACTTTCCGCAAAACAAGAAAGTGTTTTATTTGATGGAAATCAATTGATAAAACGCATTAACTTGGAGCTAAAGTTTCCGATCCCATTCCCTTTCCTTGTTGGCCACCCTATAAAACTTGGCTAAGGAGTATGCCTACCCATCACGGGCAGATAAAGTCGACTATTACCAAAGGCACATTCAAAGTTTGGCTATTAACCTTAACAAGATGTACCGAGATCTTGGTAGAGATTCATTTTCCAGGCTTAATTAATCAAAATGAATTTAATTTTCGATAGCTTTTACCTGGGTTTTGTTTCGGTGAAAGGGGGCCAAGGAAAAACAATTTTAGCATTCACCCCGGAATTCAGGCAATTCGCCAAAGTTTACCATGAAATATACATGTAGACATGGCAAATTTGCATAAATATGGCAAAAAGTTAAGGGCCCCAGAAGCAAGGTAGTTGATAATTGGGCTAGCAAGTGGTAGAACAAACTGGGTAGACGGCATAAATTACAAAAGTTTCTGATTTCATTATATAAACCCACACATAAACACGAGACAAATAAACAGTTCGGACTACTTTAAATACTGACCCTCTTCTGCTATCCTCTTCGTTTTTCTACAGACTTTAAAGGCATTCAACAATGGCCAGGTTCACACAGATTTAATCAAACGGCACTGAAACGTGGTCCAAATGGTCAGACTGTCTGAGTGCTTTTGGCTTTGGATCTTTGTTTGCACTCCGAGGTGCAGATAGATGGACACGCCGGCCAGCGGATACAGAAGCTAACGGTGCTGAAGGCAGGCAAATTCCTAACGCTCAACGGCAATCGATAGAGCAAACATTCCCCAATCCCAGAAACCCAGAAAAACATCCGCTGGGCAAAGTGGAGGTGGCACTTTAAAGGAATGGCCAGAGCACACGAGTCAAGAGATCTCAGGGCTTTAATCGATTTGATTGTGTTGACTGATTTTAAAAGGGGGCGATAAAAATCAGTTCATGACCTAATATTGTGAAGTTTTATTCGAATTAAAACTTTTTATAAGATATTATATGAGATCTTAAAACAATAATAATGAGTCATCCAATT